ATCATGATGGACGGTTTTCGGTAAGTATTTGCCCCGGGGGGCCCTCGCTAAGCCCTGGGACCGTCAAGCACGACTCAGGATGAAGAGATCATCCCTGGGAAGGGGCCCAGACCTCTGGGAGACCACGTTGTGAAGAAATCACGAGAAGAGACGCAAGAGTTCATGATCATGATACGTTAAACTTTCCCACATTCCCAGGATCTCCCGAATTTCCTAATGCTCCACTCCACACGGGCTTCAGAGACGAGCGCCGCCAGATAATTCTGGAAATCCTTCAGCGTATATCCTGAGCCCATCCTGTGACACCGTGCCAGTCCTACACGACGTCGGAGGTATGTCTCTCGGCGGCCTGCCAGGAGGGGAAGGCCGAGGGCGCGGACTCGATTTCTCACTGGCCACGGGTGCTGCATGAGCTCGCAGGTCTGGTTGGTGTGGCGATCTCTCGACCCGCAGTGTTGCTGTCGCATCGTTGAGTCGGGCAGGGCTGGTCGCGCTCCGCACCTCTCTTCCGTCCTCCTCCTCCTTCTCCTCCTCCTCCTCCTTCTCCTCCTCCTCCTTCTCCTCCTCCTCCACTCTCTCCTCTCCCCTCCTACCTCTCCTCCTCTCCCCTTCACCGACCCTCCTCTCCGGCCCTCCTCCTCCTCCCTCCCTTCCTTCATCCTCCTCTTCCTCCTCCTCATCCTCTTCCTCCTCCCCCTCCTCATCCTCCTCTTCCTCCTCCTCTTCCTCCTCCTCTTCCTCCTCCTCTTCCTCCTCCTCCTGCTTTTTACCTCTGCCTTCTCCTCCTCCTCCTCCTCCGCGTCCTCCTCGCCCTCCTCTTAAACATTGCCTCCGACCTTCTGGGCAGCTTTCTGAGCCATCTCCGAAGCCCCGCCGCATGCTGAGAAGGCCTGCCCCCCTACACTTCAACCCTCAGCGCGCCGCCGCGTCTCGGACCTGAGAGCCCCGTCACCCTCGCGATGTCAAAAGATGTAACGACGGCGGAGTTGTCGGTCGTCGGGGGAGGAAGAGGAGGGACGAGCTGCCTTCCCGCCGAGAGAAGCAGAGGGGGGATACCCAAAACTGAAGTCACTCTCAGGAGGAGAGCCCGGCCCCCAGGGAAGGGGTCTGGAAATCTGGGGGCGGCGGCCCTCCCTGCAGGCAGGGCCGCCGTCGCACGACAACGACGGGGCCGTGATCGAGCACCTGAGGCGATGCCGCCACCAAGGCCATCGTCGCATGACCCATGCGTTTGTCTATGTGCGTCCCCAGAGCTTCTGGCTCCGCCCCCTGGGGTAGTTTTTCCCAACCATCCTGTGGAGTTGGGTCCTCGTTTTGAAGAGACGGTCCCCGCGTCCCTCCTTTCCTCCTCCCCCTCCTCCTCCTCCCTCCTCCCGTCACCCCCATCACTACGGCACACCCCGTCACACGTTTCGTGGCCCCATAGGGAGCTCCGTCGAAGGCCCCGGTGGCACCGTCCACATGCGTCCGCCACCCCCATTCCGGCGCACCCCTCACACGTTCTGTGGCCCGATAGGGAGCTCCACCGAAGGCCCCAGAGGCACAGTCCACACGTGTCCGCCACACCCATTTCGGCACACCCCATCACGCGTTTCGTGGCCCCATAGGGAGCTGCAGCCAAGGCCCCAGAGGTGCCGTCCTCATGCGTCCGCCACACCCCTTTCGGCTCTCGTGGCCCCATAGGGAGCTCCACCGAAGATCATACTCACGACTGCGGTGCTCCCAGCTGCATATGGCTGGGTCATTCGAATTTTCCTCCCGGAGCCGTTTCTGATGGCCCCGCGGGACCCGAGCACGGGCCACAGAGGCGGGCACCGAAAAAATTCAGGTCGTCGGAGATCTATTGTTTGAGCCGCCGTCGAGGACCGCCGCCGCCGGCTCCGCCGGCGCCGCCCGGCGCGGGGTTCATGCCGACTCCTCCGATTCTGTCCGATTCGACTTCGGTTCCGATCCCGATTCGACTTCGGCTGCCGACTTGGACGGCGGTCTCTCAATCGAGGGCCTGGACCCCTCCGACGCGTTCCAGAGCCAGGCAGAGGAGCAGACATGCGCAGCCACCGCTCGAGAGCTCCTGGGTTTCGTCGTGCCGCCCGCCGTCGTCGTCACCGTCGCCGTCGCCGTCGCCGTCGCCGTCGCCGTCGCCGTCGCCGTCGTCGTCGTCGTCGTCGTCGTCGTCGTCGTCGTCGTCGTCGTCGTCGGGCGGCGGGCGGCGGGCGGCGGGGCAGGCCACCGCCGCCTGCGGCAGCGCCCCCTCGCGCGGGCCCCCGGGCGCCTTCGCGCCTCGGCCGCGCGCGTCCTGGCGGGGGGGGCGGGGGGCGGGGGGGCGGCTGCTGCTCCGCGGGCTGCCGCCCGGACGTGCTGCGTGGGATCGCGCCCCCTTCTCCTCCCTTTGGCGCTGCGCACCTCCTCCTCCTCCTCCTTCCTCCCTCTCTCCTCCTCCTCCTCCTCCTCCTCCTCCATCCTCTCCTCCGCCTTCCCTCCATCCTCCTCCTCCTCCTCCTCCCTCCTCCTCCTCCTCCTCCCGTCCTCCTCCTCCTCCTCCTCCTCCTCCTTCTCCCATCCCCTCGTGGGGCTGGGGTGATCTCGGATGGCAGTGCGAGTTCTGCAATCAAGTACTCCGTCGAGCCGTAAATTACCTATGACCTGCTGTCTTGGGACCCCATCGTTTCTGGAGCTTCTCACGGACGACCCTTTGGGGCCCCTTCTGTGTATCATATGTGGGGGGTGGCGCCGGGAGAAGGTCATTACGTTGGCAAAAGAGTGTGCTCCTCCCACCCGCACTGCCATGATGATTGTGTCTCGGTTTCGGCGAGGGTTAGCCCCGAATCCCCGTTTTCGAGTTTCGATCGGGCGAGCTGTCCCTGTCCCCCGTATCGGACTCAGCATCGTTGCTGCTCGAGATGCTCGCGCTTCGACGTCGGTCGGCATTTTTTCGTCACCGAGGTCTGAGGGTATGATGGGTGATGATGTGGAGGTCCGCGGCGCTCTGCATCATCGGTGATGGGTCGGCCCGAACCTCGAAGAGGAGCGTGTCCTGGCAGTCGACCAGGAAATCAATGATGAGGCTCGCAACGCGGATCCGAACGACATGTTCTACACGCGCGCCCTCATGCCACGTGACCGTGTTTTTGTTGTCGCTCTTCATCGATTGCACGAGTCCTGGAGATACGCGTACGGTGGCCAGCACAAGCAGATCACGGGCGAGAGCTACACAGACGGTGCTGGACGTACTCACATTTGGCGGTCAGAGGGGGCACGTGCCGGTTGGTGCCTAGTTGTGATGCAGGGTCAGCGACTCCGAGGTTTAGCGTTTGGACCGCTACCAGGAACTCAATATTCAGTACATCGTGCCGAAATGTCCGTTATGATCATGACATTGAAGAAAGGATTGCTTCCGATGCGCATTCACACCGATTGTATTATGACCATCGGTGGGCTAAACAATGGTAAGGAGTGGCCTCTACATAGGCGCCGCCCGAACGTGGACCTCTGGCGAGAAGTTCGGAGGCTCACTGGTGACCATGGCGGCCTGAGCGACGACCGGACCTTTACCTGCGACAAGTCACATCGGACTCAGGAAAATAGTTGGCACCACCATGGTAATAAGAGGAACTGGGTGCGCAGATGTGGCGGCCAAGAAAGGGGGGCAACAGCTCATGGCATCCCCCCAGCAGCACTTCGCCAGCACAAGCGCCTCTGGTACATGATACGTCACATTGCATCCTGGATCGGCAACTTTCAGGAGCCGCTCGAGACCCAACCTCATCGGCTCCACCGGCGGAGCGGAAAGCGCCGCGAGCCCAGAAACGACTTCGCTGGGCACGTCGCGCCGGTGCGCGCGCTGTTGCTCCACCTCCTGTGCTTCCAGGGCGCCAGCAGCATCATGTGATTGAGCGCGCCCCGCGCGGATGGACATGCGTCAATTGCCCGCGCGTCGCGCGAACCGCCTAGCGCCGAAACCATATGCGTAGGCAGGCGTGCTCGGTCAAACCCAGAATTGATAACCACAGCGCCCCGCCAACCCCCAGGGAGCTTGCTGAGCCACCGCTGGGCCCTGGGAGCCAAGGGATCTAGAGGTCTTCGGAAGACGAGCCTGGCCAGGCCAGGACGGTCCGACCCAGGGGAGGAAGATGAAGAGGAGGAGGATGAGGAGGAAGAGGAGGAGGAGGACGACGACGAGGAGGAGGAGGACGAGGAGGTGGAGGAGGAGGAGGACGACGACGACTATGCCGATGACGATGACGATGATGATGCGGACGACGGCGGCGGTGGCGATGGCGGCGGCGGCGACGGCGGGCGCAGGGCTGCGGCTGCAACGCCGCCGACTGCGAGCGCATTCCGGTTGCGGCGGCGAGGACGGTGAGCGCTGGCGACGGCGACGACGAGCGAGCAGCAGGGCGAGGGGCTGGCAGGAGCGGGCCGGGGGCGCCGCCGCCCATGGGGCCGTCGAGGCGCCTGCCGCTTCGCCACGACGGGGGGGCGGGGCGTCGCCGTCGCCGCCCTCGCCCGCCGCCCGTCGGCGGCGGCGGCAGCGACAGCGACTGTGACGGCTGCGGCGGCCGCGGCGTCCACTGCGACTGCGACTGAGGCAGCGGCGGCGGCGCCGGCGAAGGCGGCAGTGGCGTTGACGGCGCCGGCTCGTGCCTCCGCGCGCGCGCGCCACCTGTAGGGTCTCCCGGTACGTGGAGCAGCGGGTGGCCCGGGAGCGCGTGTCGGAGGAGCGCCCCGAGCCCAGACTTCAGTCGGGCGTGTCCCCCTACACGGGGATTTTCGACGAAAAATATAAAAAGCACCCCCAAAATAACAAAAACAAATAATCTAAACATAGTCTGGGGACTATTTTTTTGTATTTTCTATTTTTCGTCGAAAATCCCCGTGTAGGGGGACACGCCCGACTTGAGCCCAGACGCACAGGGGAGCACCGCGCGCGCGCGCCGCGGGAGGGCTGCCACCCTCCCTCCGTCCTGTGGCCTCCCGCCCTTCCCCCGTCCCTCCCGCCCGCCCTTTGCCTCGTCGAGGTCCCAACGTTCCAGGGAGGGAAAGGCCACCCTTATGTCGGGCGTGTCCCCTTACAGGGGGATTTTAAACGAAAGATTAAACATACCCCAGAAATACCTCCAAAAAGATTTAAAAATACTAAAAAATAGTCTCTGTACTATTTTTGGACTATTTTTGAATATTTTGTGGGTATCTCTTATACTTCGTCGAAAATCCCCCTGTAGCGGGGCAGGCCCGACATAAAACCACCCCGACCCACATGATTTGCGTCTGCCAAGCAGTGTTAGCCAGATTCTGGGCTCCAGACAGTGATTGTGTGTCTAGCCATTTGTGTGGTGCAGTCTATGTGGTGCAGAGTGCGGTGCAGTATGTGTGGTGCAGTATATGTTGCGCAGCGTATGTGATGCAACCGATGTGGTGCAATCTATATATATATATATGTGTCTATACTTGCACACGTACTATATATGTATGTGTATTGTACAATATATTCGGTGCATTCTAGTTACGCAATGACTTCGTTGCAACTTATCTGGTGCAATACAGGTGGTGCAATCTATGTGGTGCAGCCTGTGAGATGCAATCTACGTCGTGCAATGTATGTGATGGAATATATGCGGTGCAGTCTACATTGTGCAATCTAGGTGGTAGAATCCATCTTATGCAATGCATGTGGTGCAGTCTATATGGTGCAACCTATGCTGTGCAATCGGTGTGGTGCAACGTATGTGGTTCCACATAGGCAGTGCAGTCTGTGGCGTTTACTAACACAGCCTTGCTCTGTTCGTTTCCTTCCTCATGTGCGTTTACTGACAGGTGCCGCTTATCTGGGTGCTGATTACGAGGGTGGTTCTCCTGCCCTCCAAACATGTGATTCCCTCTCCTTTCCCCTCCTTATGCCCGCCTCCGCAAAAGGGTGGGTTAGCCAGCAAGTGACAGTGATTCACGCGTGGGCAAGGGATTGTTTGATGTAGAGCCGAGCGTTCTCTCACATTTTGCTCGGTCCCGTGCGAGCTCGGGCTCCCACTGCGAAGGTTTGCGGTCCATACCGAGTGGAGGTGCAACGATTATGTCCCTTCCGGAGGTGTAACATTCCAGGATCTTAGAGAGCCCGCGAGGAGCGCCGCAACGAGATCGGACAGCAGTTCTTCCTCGAGGGCTTCACTGTGCGACACGTGCGGGGTACGGGGAGTCACCGTAAATGCATGCAGCGGGATAGCACACTGCTACATGTTCTCGCAACTCTGCAGATGCTGTTCTCACAGCTTCCTGCATGGCATCAGCTTGATTCACGCAGCATCTTCGCTCCCAGCTGGCCCACGGTCTGAGTAGTAGACAAAGCTGGGGCAACTTGCTGCAAAGGGTCTCGACGTTTTCCCACACTGAGGACGAGGCGGAGGAGGAGGAGGAGGAGGAGGAGGAGGAGGAGGAGGCGGGCGGGGCTCGGAGGATGGTGAGAAGGAGAGGATGGAGGAGGAGAGCGCGGGGACGAGGGCCTCAGTCATCGCGGCGAAGCAACACGCAGCTCGAAAGTGGAAGAGCGAGGGGGGATAGGTGGATTGAGAGGGGGAGGGAGCAGGGGCGGAGGAAGAGGGGGGACCCAGACTTCCTCGCGCCGTGAAGAGTCGCGACGGACAGTTGTTTGCTGTGTCCATCCTCTGGTGGCCCTCGCCGGGCCCCAGGACCCTCACACAGCTTTGATCGGGATGAGATGGTCCTAGAGCAGGGGGTCCAGACCTTTTGGGGGGACCACGTTGTGAACAGGCAGCCGCGACGCTGGGGGTCTGGGGAGTAGGAGGGCTTCGAGGGGGTCGGGCGGGGCTGGGACAGGGCGAATCGTTCCAGAGCGTTCCGGAGCGCTCTCAGAGCGTTCCAGAACGCTCTGAGAAGGCCGCGGCGCCCGATACATCCTCCAGAGCCGCTGGGTCCCAGAGATCCCCGATCCGTCCATGTCATATTTTGTCCCTGTCCTGGCTTCGTCTTCGGGGCAGGCGCCTGGGCCAGGACGTGCCGCCCCCCGCACAGGGTGCCGAGCTCCTGCGGGCGGCCGGAGGCGGCCCACGTGGCCAGCGTCGGGGCTTCAGGGACGGGGGTCCATACAAACGGGGGTCAGTCAGAGCGCCGGATCTTACAGGATCCTGCAAGGCCAGGGGCGCACTGACCCGGGTCTGGGTGCAGGATCCTGCAGGGTCTTGCCAGGCTTGAAAGAACCCCGGTTTGGATTGACCCGGGTCAGAAGATCCCCGACAGCGCGTTGTTTGCATCGCCCTCCGCGGCGGCGAGTGCGGTGGCTGCGCGGGAGGATGAGAACCCTCACTTTCCCAATGGGATCTAGAATAGCACCAGTATCTCGACATCCAAATTCCAGCCACTGCTTTAAGCAGTCCAAATGCGTCTACAAGTACAAGACTCGAGAGATATTCATTAACACTCTGGATGATGAGGGAAGGAGAGTGAGTAACGTTTTGGAGCTGGCTAGGAGTCTGAGGTTGCCCAGCAACTTTTCCTGCCAGCAGGAGGGGGGGAAGGTTCGAGGTGCTGGGTTCGAGAAGTTTTTGTTGCCTTTGCGGTCTCCTGGGTCCGCCTTCGGGACCCGAGACAGTAAGCAACGGATTTGGGGTGTAAGATGCGATTCGATGGACCCCAGGAGGGGTCCGAGTCCCGATTTGTTGTATGGAGTTGCCCTGATGCCTCCCTCTCTCGACAGATTTCCAGGCCCCCTGGCCGCCTCCAAGGCATGCTGCATCCTCGGTAGAGATCGCCTGTCCCCTAAAAAGGGCGTTTTTCTTGTGCCCCGCGCGGGCTCGCTGCGGGCTCGGCGCGGACTTGGCGTGGGCTCGGGTCGGATCCGGCGTGGAATCGGCGCGGACTCGACGGGTCTGGCATGGAGTCGACACGGACTCGACGCGAGGAGAGGAGCGCGCGACGGGACAGACAGGATCCCCGAAGGTGCCGCAGAAGAGTGCGGCACATCGGGTCCAGGATCCCAGGCCGCTCCGAGGAAGTGGTAGCACCCGATGCGTTCTCTGGACCCAGCGGCTTTCGGAAATCACATATCATGTCCGATCTGATGTTGTCCCGATCTTGGCTCCGTATTAGGAGGAGGAGCAGAATGAGGACGACGCCGACGACGAATGATGAGCAGGATGAGAGTGCAGTGAAGAAGGAGAAGGAGGAGAAGGCGGAGGAGAAGGAGGAGGACCAGCATGAAGAGGCCGACCCGAGATCTCCGACGTCGTGATGTGTCGCAACGTGGACCCCCAGAGGTCTGGACCCCTTCGAGGTTTCCACCCTGAGTAATTGTTGACTGCCCCAGAGCCCCGTGAAGGCTCCGAGAGGCCGATGATCTCAAGAAAGCCTCCCGCCGCGAGTTCTTCGCAGCGCGAGCGGCGTCGCCGACGCGGGGGAGGCGCCCAGTGAGGGCCCCAAAAGGCCGAAGATGGCCGCACACCGTCCGCCGAGTCTCTCCCACGGCGCGCGGAGGTCAGGTCAGGTCCCCATCCCCACAGGAGGAGGAGGAGGAGGAGGAGGAGGAGGAGGAGGAGGAGGAGGAAGAGGAGCAGCAGGAGGAGCAGGAGGAGGAGCAGGACAAGGAGCAAGGAGATGGGCGTTGCCTCGGGGGCCGGCAGCAGTTCGAGGCTGGGCAGAGGACGGCGCTGGCGCCGCTCACGCGCCGGCCTGGCGCGCGCGCGCGCGCGCGGGGGCGGCGAGGTGGAGTCGGAGCGGCGCTCGGAGGGCCTGCGCCAGCAGAGGGAGGCGGCGCAGGAGGCTGAGGATGCTGCGCCGCGGCGCCGCGCCGCGCGGCTCTCCTTCGCGCGCGGGGGGCTCCTCGGGCCTCACTTCGCCTCCTCCTCCTCCTCCTCCTCCTCCTCCTTCTCCTCTCCTCCTTCTCCGTTCTCCTCCTTCGCCTCCTCCGCCTCTCCGCCTCCTCCTCCTCCCGCCTCCTCCTCCCCCTCCTCCTCCCTCCTCCTCCTCCTCTCCTCCTCTCTCCTCCTCCTCCTCCTCCTCCTCATCCTCTCCTCCTCCTCCTCCTTCCTCCTCCTCTCCTCTCCTCCTCCTCCTCCTCCTCCTCCTCCCTCCTCCTCCTCCTCCTCCTCCTCCTCACTCCTCTCCTCCTCCTCCTCCTCCTCCTCCTCTCCTCCTCCTCCTTCCCCTCCTCCTCCTCCTCTCTCCTCCCCCTCTCCGTTTCCCTCCTCCTCTCCTTCCTCCTCCTCCTCCTCCTCCTCCTCCTCCTCCCGCCTCCGCCTCCTTCTCTTCCGCCTCCTCTTGCTCCTCTCGCTTCCTCTTCCTCCTCCCCCTTCTCCTCCTCCTCCTCCTCGTGTTGTACGCGCCGCTTTCGTGGTGGGTGTTTTGTCTTGCACGCTTCGCCTCATCGTTCACGCTCAGAGGTTGTTCGTGTAATTGCGTACCCGGACGCATTCGTGCTGCTCGCTCCTCCTCCTTTTCTTGGCCTCCTCCTCCTGCCTCTTCATCCTCCTCTCGCCTCCCGCATCCGTCCTCGTCTGACATCCTCGCCGTGGCAACTTCTGGCCACTGTGTGCCACTGTCTGGGCCCGGGGCCGTCACAAAGCGATTCAGGATGATAAGCTGGTCCTCCTGAAGAGGATCAAGACCTTTTGGGAGCCGCGTTGTGAACGAAAAGTGCCAAGTCGGATGTCTGGGTTTGGCGTGGTGCTGCCGGGTCCAGTCGGAAGCCAGAGCGGTTGAATTAGGATCGATTTCTTTTTTGTTGCCACGGCAACCCAACACAGACCATCACCGTGATCTACACCGCCTGCCCCGCCCCCGCTTTCTCCTCGGCATCAGAGGTCTGAGCGCTTCCAGCCTGGCCAGAACGAGAGTCGAGTCGAGTCGAGGATCGAGGGGGGAGGTTGAAGATCGACGCAGGGGGGGGGAAGTTCTGAGCGTCTGTGAGTTACCGCATGCCGATGATAATAAAGGGACCCCCCCCCTTCAGTGTTTAGAGTTGATTATCGTCGCCCTATACAAAATTCAAATTGGGCGGCGAGCGCTGAGGCCGAACTTCATTATCACCTCGAAACGCTATGTTGAGATAGCAACATCAAGCGATGTTGATATAGCAACATCAAGCGAAGCGATCACACTTTTTCAGGATGTGTCAAGCGAAACCAATAATTTTGGGAGGCAGACTCAAACGAAACGAGCAATGTTCTTATTATTATTATACTTTCCTCTTCTTCTTTTATATTTCTATCTGTCCTCACGCTCGCCTGAACTTTTTTACCCCTGGGGTTGATTATCCATGGAACATGAAGCACATGAGCTACCCTACACGAGCACTTTAAACCATGCATTTTCATAAAGCGTTTGTAAATTAAAATGGATAGATTTGGAACTTTGGATTTTTCCTTTCTTCGTCCTCTTCTTATTCTCCTCTTCTTCTTCTTTCTTATTTTTCTTCTACTGTATTCTTCTTCTTTTATATTTCTCTCTGTCCCCACGCTCGCCTGAACTTTTTTATCTCTGGGGTTGATTATCCATGGAAATTGAGGCACATGAGCTACCCTACACGAGCACTTACAAAAAACAGTTTTCATGAGAGATAAGCCATTGATGAGGATATTTCTATGAAAACTAAACGCCAAGGATGTCTCAAAACGTGCTCGGCTTGGTCTCCTCTTGATAATCTCTTACTTCGAGATTATGCTGAGGTCTGCTGGGCTGCTTTTATTATCTCTCCCTGAACCCCGAATTTTATTATCCCCTAGTGTTTATTCTCACGGGCATGAGGTTATGTTGGGGGGCTTCCAGAGGCCTCCACAAGACCACGGACCTCTTGGGATCCTCCAGGGGAGGAGGCTGTTGGACGTCGAGGCCGTAATCATCCGCCTCGCAGGGCCCTGCGAAGTCTCTGGCGGAGAGGTCATGGGCCATGCCTCGGCAGTCCAGCAGATTGGCCGACACGGTGCCGTGGCTCATCGCGACCCAGGGCTCACTTCCATGCCTCCTCCGTCGTGCGGCCCTGCCCGAGCGCAGGGGCCGCCACAGAAGGTCGACGTCTCACAAAGTCACGCCACTCAGAGTTCTATGCGTAGCACGATACAGGGTTCCACACGCCTCGGTCGAGTTGACACGCGAACTCCACGAGCCCGATCCCGATCCCGATCCTCCTCCTCCACCTCCTCCTCCTCCTCCTCCTCCTCGATTTCGATCGGTTCCGATGCCGATCCCGTGTGACCTTGGACTCCGACCCGGGCCGCGGTGCTTTCCCCGCGGGGGCCTCGTCGGCCGGCCGGCTCCCGCCGCATCGGCCCCTCACGTCCCGGCTGCCGACTGCAGCCGGTCCGATCTCGGCCCCGTCGGTGCGACGTGTCGATCCGGCCCGATCCGATGCGATTTCTCGCTGCGAGCTACAGTCGGGGCGTTGACCCAGGGAACCCCAAAATGAGGGGCGAGGGGCCCCCTGTTGCTCATAAGGTAAACAGCGACGTCCCATGGAAGACCTCGGAGGAAGGCCCGAGGCAGACTGTCAAACAGTCGAGGAACACCGCGCCCCTCCCCAGCGAAAAGGGCTCCATCGACGCGATCCGAGTCCCTCGATGCGGTTCCAGCCGATGCGAGCCGCTGCGGTGCCTCGATGCGCCTCCGGGGCCCTCGCGCGCCCCGCCCCCCGAGGCCGCCGGGGGGCGGCAGGTCGCCCCCGTCGGTGGAGTCGGCAGCCCCGTGGGCGATGGGCGGCGGGGGCGGCCTGCCCCCTCCTCCGAAGTCAGGAGAGGAAAGAAACACACAGACACAATGCATCGTCGATTCCCCAGAAGGTGGGAAAAAATGGGAAGTGGGGGGGAAGACAGAAACCCAGAGCATGTGGGGAACTATTGGGGGATCCTTGTATTTGTGTGTCTGTTTTCGTGTGTCCTAGGGCCCCTCCTCCGAAGAGGGGCCCGGGGAGACACAGCGGCATGCATTCAGGTCCAACGGATCCAACGATTCCCAGGATCACGGTCCAGTTAGGTTTCTGGTCTTGTCTGCCGCTCCGCTTCCCGTGTTATCCAATATGTCCCTGGGAATCTACGTCAGGTGTGCCTGCTTTTTTGTTTCTCCTCCTCTTCCTCCTCCTCCTCCTCCTGATGTGGTGGCGTGGTTCGTCGCGTCCCATCCCCCGATTTGCGGGGGCGGGATGCTCACGAGACCCTCACCGAGAGCGCCACTCGGCACCCTCGCCGAGAGCGCTGCTCGCGCGGGGGGTCCAGCCAGTGCACCCTGCCCACGGAGGAGCTATACAGCCTGCCGAACAATCAATGGCGCGCTCCAGATAGGGCCTCGCCTTCGAGGAGCGAAGGAGCTGCCGTCGCTTCCTCGGCGGAAGGCGGCGAAAGTAAAACGAGGCCGCCTCCGCCGGCGGAGGTAGAGATCGAGAAGTCGGCATCTATCTCTCGGCGGAAGGCGTCGGAAGGTCGGCTTGATCCCGACTGCACCGGTTTAGTCTTGGACCTAATGCGGCTTGATCTGGCCCAATGGCTTTTAATCGTGTTGAACAGGTTTGTGTCGTTCTGACGGAGACCTACCAGGAGTTCCCCCCCAGAGTAGGAGCAAAACAAAAGTGGTGTTGGGCAGGGTGGAGGAACACCCCGTTCGGTTCTATCAAAGTACAGTCGGGGCGCTGAAGAAGGAACCCTTTTCGTTGGGGAGGGGCCCCGTTTTCCTTAATTGTTTCGCAGCTTGCCTCAGGTGTTCCTTAGGCTTTCGATCTGAAATCGAAGTTTATATCTGGAAAATAGGGGCCTCGTTCCTTTTTAGGGTTCCTTCGGTCAACGCCCCGACTGTAAGTGTGTAGGCCCGAGGAATGAGCTGGGAGGCCAGGGACTTAGAATCAGAGTCAAGTTCGCCAGGCCGAACAGCGGGGCCCGCTCAATCCCACCCCCCTCTCCACGAGGTGAGATCAGGAGGGGAACAAAAACACACAGACACAATGAATCGTCGATTCCCCAGAGAATATGGGCACATATGGGACGTGGGGGGGGGGAGACAGAAACCCAGAGAATATAGGAAAATATGGGAAATCCTTTTAATGTGTGTGTACTTATTTGTGTGTCCCAGTTCCCCTTCGTAAGAATCGCTTGCTGACACGGTGTTGCATGATTCCCACTTCGCCCGCGGACGGCGCTCGCGCGCGGTCCCGCTGCCGACAACCGTGGCGAAAGGAACGGAATCGCGGGCCGAGGGGGAGGGCACCGCGGGCCGGCAGCTGGCGGGGGCGCGGGGCCTCAGAAAAAATCGTCGCGCGGCGCTGCGGCGACAGCGCAGTTTGGGAATCTCTCTCTCTCTCTCTCTCTCTCGGGGGGGGGGGGAACCTCCGATTGGCGAGGTGAGGCGAAGAACACGCTGCGCCGAAGCAGCACTGACAATGCCATGGACGAGCTGCGCGGCGCTTGGGCGAAGACGCCCTGTCGCCCGCCCTCTCACGCACCCGGTGGGCTCCTGGGAGCGACATGCACCTCGTGCTCACGCGGGAGCACCACCACGGAGAGGGGGCGGGGAGAGGGCAGGCGGGGGCGTGGGTCGCTCGACGCCGATCGGCTCCCTGCCTCCCATCTCTCCCTGCGCGGCTTGCGCCCCACTATCTCTGCACGCCTCCCCTCTTTCTCCCCCCCCCTCCCCCTCCCCTTCTCTCTCTCTCTCTCTGCATCCCCCTCTCCCTCTGCTGGTCCCTGCCCTCCTCCTCCTCGCGCTGCCCCCCTTGGCGCGGCGCGCACCTCCCCCCTCGCCCAGGAGGCGGCCCTGAGGCAGCAGCGCGAGAGCCAGGAGCGCCGCCGCGCCCCCCCCAGAGCTCAGACCCGGACCTTCCAGGAGGGCTGGGCAGCAGCAGCATCCTGACCCCGACGTGGTCTCTTCGGCCTGGGAGGACCCAGACCTTCTAGGAGGGCTGGGAAGTAGCAGCATCGGTCTGGGAGGACCCAGACCTTCCAGGACGGACCCCGACGTGGTCCGTTCGGCCGTCCAGGTATAGCTCCGTCGGAGTGCGGGGGCTGGGCGGTCCTGCGCCGTCCCCGCGTGCGCGGGAGAGGAGTGGCACTCCGTGGCCCGGGCTCCCGTTCTCTGTTGCTGCCTGTTGCCGTTGCCGCCTCCCCCGCGACCCCTCCGAGACCCCTCCGCGACCCATCCGCGACCCGTCCGCCGCCCACCCCGCGACCCACCCCGCGACCCACCCGCGCCCGCCCGCCCCCTCCTCCCTCCTCCTCCTCCCTCTCCTCCTCCCTCCTCCTCCCTCCTCCTCCTCCTCCTCCTCCTCCTCCTCCTCCTCCTCCTCCTCCCTCCCTCCATCCTCCATCCTCCTCCTCCTCCTCCTCCTCCTCCTCCTCCTCCTCCTCCTCCTCCCTCCATCCTCCTCCATCCATCCTCCTCCTCCCTATCCGCAACTGCGGGGTGCGTTACATAGGTCGTTCAGGATGCAACTCCTGTTAGGTTTGAGTACAGCTGCCTGCGGCAAGTCCCGCCACCTTGCCAGCCCAGCATGCATTGCGGCTCTCCTTCGTGGGGACACCAGAGAACGTGCTTGCAAGGGCTGAACATCATGATAACGATGATGCTGATGATGATGATGATGATGATGATGATGATGATGATGATGATGACGATGACGATGACGATGACGATGACGATGACGATGACGATGACGACGACGATGATACTGATGATGCTGCTGATGCTGCTGATGATGCTGCTGATGCTGCTGATGATGCTGATGATGCTGATGCTCATGCTCATGCTGATGCTGATTGTGCTGATGATGATGATGGGGATGGGGATGATGATGAGGATGATGAGGATGATGCTGATGCTGATTATGTAGATGCTGACACTGATGTTGATGCTGAGGATCATGATGCTTATGATGATGATGATGATGATGAGGATGATGATCATGATGATGGTCGTGGTGGGTATAATGATTCGGATTATTATGATGATGATGCTGTTGATGATGATGATGCCACTGAGGGTGATACTGATGATGCTGATGCTGCTACTGATGCTGATATGATGCCGGTGATCATGGTGATGGTGATGATGATGATGGTGGTGATGATGGTTTGGGTGCTGATATTGATGATTGTGCGGGTGCTGCTGATGACGAACAAGACGATGGTGAGCATGACGATAATGATCATGATAATGCTTATCATGCTCACGATTACGCTGCTGCTGATGCTGAATGTTAGCATGACGACGATGATGACGATGATGATGCTTTTTTGTTGTTGATGCGGGTGATGATGATGATGATTATGAGGATGATAACGGTGGTGAGGTTCATGATGCTGTTGATGGTGATGGTGATGATGTTGGTGATGATGATGATTGCGATCATGATGATGATGATGACGATGACGATGGTAATGATGATGGTGATGTTGATGATACTGATGCTGATGCAAATGCTGTCGATGATGATGGGTACGATGGTGACGGAAGTGCTGATGCTGATGATGAGTATGATAATGATGATGATGATGACGACGATCGTGATGATGGTGACGATAACGGTCATGGTCATTGTGATGTTGACGATGATAATGATGTTGCCGGTGCTGCTGATGATGATGTTGATGGTGGTGAGGGTGATACTGATGATGCTGCTGCTGCTGATGCTGATATGATGCCGATGGTCATGACTATGGTGATGGTGATGAGGATGATGAGAATGATGGTGGTGATGATGGTTCTGGTGCTGATCATGATGATGGTGCGGGTGCTGTTGCTGCTGGTTATGATGATGATTATGATGATGATGATGATGATGATGATAATGATGAACATGACGATGATGAACATGACGATGCTGATTATGATCATGATTACCATGCTCACTATTGCGCTGCTGCTGATGCTGAATGTTAGCATGACGACGATGATGCTGACGTCGTTGAAGTGGGTGATGATAATGATGATGGTGGTGCTGATGTGCATGATGATGATGATGGTGGTGATGTTCATCATGATGCTGATGGTTATGGTGGTGATGATGTGGCTGGTGATGATGATGGCGATCATGGTGATGATGATGATAACGACGATGACGATGGTGATGATAATGGTGATGCTGATGATGATGATGATGATGATGATGATGATGATGGGGACGCTGATGCTGTTGTTGATGATGGTGATTATGATGGTGATGCTGGTGCTGGTGATGATGATGATGATGATGATGGTGATGACGTTGACGATGATAATGATTACGACGATGCTGATGTTGATGATGATGATGCTGGTCATGGTCATGGCCATCGTCATGGCCATGGTTATGATGATGCTGCTGATGATGATGCTGATGATGCTGCTGATTATGATGATGATGATGATGATGATGATGATGATGATGATGATGATGATGATGATGATGATGATGATGATGATGATGATGATGATGATTAAGCTTCTTAGTATGATTAATAGTATTCTTCGTATTATTATTCTTATTGCTGTAATTATTCCCTACCTAGGCTCTGCCTAGAAGGGTTCTTACTCTCTAGCTTAAAGGGGCCGGGCAGTGGAAAGCGCCCCGGGCGGTTCCCCCAGTCCCCGCCCCGCGGTTCCCCCAGTCCCCTGGGAGCTTTAGCTTTAGCTTTTAGCTTTAGCTTTAGCTTTAGCTTTAGCTTTAGCTTAGCAGTTTAGCTTTAGCTTAACTTTAGCTTAGCTTTAGCTTAGCTTTAGCTTAACTTTAGCTTAGCTTTAGTTTAGCTTTAGCTTATCTTTAACTTTAGCTGTAGCTTAGCTTCAGCTTAGCTTTAGCTTAGCTTTAGCTTAGCTTTAGCTTAGCTTTAGCTTAGCTTTAGCTTAGCTTTAGCTTAGCTTTAGCTTAGCTTTAGCTTAGCTTTAGCTTAGCTTTAGCTTATCTTTAGTTTAGCGTTGGCTTAGCGTTAGCTTAGCGTTAGCTTAGCTTTAGCTTAGCTTTAGCTTAGCGTTAGCTTAGCGTTAGCTTAGATTTAGCTTATATTTAGCATAGCTGTAGCTTATACTTAGCTTAGCTTTAGTTTAGCTTTAGCTTAGCTGTAGCTTAGCTTTAGCTTAGCTTTATCTTAGATTTAGCTTAGATTTAGCTTACATTTAGCTTAGCTTTAGCTTAACGTTAGCTTAGCTTTAGCTTAGCTTTAGCTTAGCTTTAGCTTAGCTGTAGCTTAGCTGCAGCTTAGCTTTAGCTTAGCTTTACTATTACTACTAATGCTGCTTTCCTAGGGGCTCCAGCTCCTAGGTAGGGTCGCACTGGGATAATTATGTTATTAAGGATATCGTGGAAGCCCTCTAAGGGCTTGTTGGAGGCAGTATCGAGGCCTCTTGGGGGCCGTCTGGCGGCCTCTTGGAGGCCTCTTGGGGCCTCTTGTGGCTCCTTGGAGGCCTCTTGGGGTTTCCTGGGGCCTCTGCTGGCAGAAGCTTGGAATTGTCGGTTCGTGTTCCCCCTCTTGGGCCCCTCTTGGGGCCGTCTTAGGGCTCGACTCCTTCCCAGAGACCCATTCCCCGGGGCAAGCTTATCATCCCGAGTCGCTTTTTGACGGTCCCGAGGCCCAGTAAGGGCCCCACGAGGCGTCACAGAAGGCCAAAGTTCCCGTCATGAGGTTCTCATGACCCGCGTGGGTCTGGGTCTTTCGGATACCACTTTCTTAGGATCGGCGCCACTCCAACATACTAATAACATTCGTGCGTCGCCCCCCTAGGGGCGACGCGAGAAATCTTGCAGTATATACGTCGTGGCGGGCGCTTTCCGGCCACGCCGCTCCGGAAACGAAGTATTATAGCATGGGTATGCTATACGTTCAGGCCGGCCGCGCGCCTCCGAGGAGGACGCATGGCATTGTCGTGCGTCTTTGCGCGTCCGACCCTGAGGAGGAGGAGGAGGAGGAGGAGGAGAGGAGGAGGAGGAGGAGGAGGAGGGGGGGAGGAGGAGAAGAGAGGAGGAGGAGGAGGAGGAGGAGGAGGGAGGAGGAGGAGGATCGGGCGGCGCTGCCTCACCTCGTCGTCCGTCCCCACCTCCCAGCGACCAGCATCGGCTCAGGCCCGCGGCGGCGGGGCCCCTCGGGCCGGGCGAGAGGGGGGGATGGGGAAAGGGGGGGTCCTCCTCCTCCTCGTCCTCCATCTCCTCCTCCTCTCCTCCTCGTCCTCCTCCTCCTCGTCCTCCTCCTCCTCCTCCTCCTCCTCCTCCACTACACCTCCTCTTCAATCCCCTCCTCCTCCATCTCTCGGGCAGAAAGAAAGGGGGGGATTGGGAAAGGGGGGGGTACGAAATTTGCGGCATGCAGCTGGTTTCGGCCCCACCGAGGGGCCCATTCCTCGATGGGGAGCCGCTGCCGGCGCCGGGAGGCGCCGGGAAAACCAGCCACGTGGGCTGATTCTCAAGCCCCCCCTTTGCTATCCCCCCCTTTCGCCCAGCCCGACCTGTACCAGCCTGGAACACATCCCTACCCCTATGCTGGGCACCTCCTCATCACGATGCCACTCTTAGGGATTCTCTTATTACCTAACAGCTCTTGCTGATAGGTTTCTAGTGGTCTCAAAAGAGAGCATCATGACTCCTCAGGGGGGTCTGGGCGGGACCTGGACAGGCTGCCGCCGAAGCCGCCGCCGAAGCCGAAATCGCTCGGGACATCCTCGCAAAATCGCTCTTGGTGCTCCCAGAACTCCATTCCCGGGCCACATTTTGGATGCCCGGAGCCAACTGTAGGCCACTTCGTGCTCTTCGACTTCCCAGAACTCCATTCCCGGGCCACATTTTGGATGCCCGGAGCCAACTGTAGGCCACTTCG